GACTCCGAGGTCTCAACTGAACTTCTGCCGTGCGCGTGCAGGTAGCTCCGGGCTCCAGCCCAACTGGGCATAGTGCTTGCGGCAGGTCCGCTGTACCCGTACCCGACCTCCGAAGCTAGTTTGCGTCGAGCCTGGACTGGGTGGGGCCGCTGTGAGACGCCCAGGTAGTCAGTTTCCTCCGCGTAACTACGTACCTGCCCACGTACGTCCTCCAAAATGCTCTCGGTTGCGGTGGTGAATTGTTCCTCGAGCAATTCCGCTTCCCGCAGCGTTACTTCCATACGCTTCTCTTCGTGTGTTGAGCTGTACAGACTGACGAGGTTCATGATAGCACTGGTGGCGTTGTCATAATGTGAGCTTAGCTCGGCTAGCTCGTCGTTAGCTTGCTCTCCTCGCACTCCGCCATTCATGGAGCGCACAAGAAGTGTCCGCCGCGCGTTGGTGAAGTGTTTTTTAGCCACCATCTTTTCTCTAAGCAGCTTGCTAAGCTTCTCGCGCTTGTTCTCTACTGCCGCTGGTTCTTCTCAATGGTTTGCTTCCTCGGTGCTGGCGGTCCCGTCCTCCGCGGCTTGGCTGTCTTTCTCCTTGTCCTCTTCGACTGGAGACTCCATAGCCGCGCTTAGGTGGAACGTTCAGTACTTACGAGGTCGACTCGACTTAATTAACCATCCTCTGCTACCAATATGTTCTGTAGAGGCGTGCTTCTGCCTCGGCACACACCCAAACCACACAAAGGACCAACTCGCGACTACCAAGAGAACTCTGTTAGAAAACTCTGGCTCCAAGCCGCAATTGCTTGAAACCTTTCACCGAACTCGTAAGCACTAAAGCCTACTCTAGCCAACTCACTACTGCAGTGAAAACGTCTAGCTTATAACACTTGCATGCCAACAACTCCATCAGCAGGCGCGAAAGAAGGTGAAGACAAAGCCTGTGACCTAAATGTGTGAACCCTAACGAAAGTCACAGCTACATGTAACACAAAACGAGAGTGCATGTCAGTGACACGTGCGACCTCCTGAACAATTCCATTGTACTGGCATTGATATGCGTACTTTCACTGTTGCACATGTTTGTGTCGATGCGATGTTTGTCTCTCGCATAATTATGTGACCATGGTCTTGAAATCAAAACAAAAATGCAGACCTCTCCCTTATAATAAAGACCATGGTCTTATATGCACGAGATTACGGAAACATCCCCTTTAAAATACTGTCTCTTCGCTGCATACGCAAACTAACAGTTATTCAACAAATTTTCAGGCATGTCCGATGTTCATGTCGTCAACTTGGGCGATGCTTATACGTCTAGCTTATGGAACTAAGTATTCTCCTCGATGAGATCGCGCCACACAACAAAAGGCCAAGTTACTTTAGTTTATAGAGCGAGTTTTCTCTTCTTGTTTTCAAGAGACGACGAGACAACTGACACTGAGACGAGACAAGACAAAGGAATATATTGTGAAGATGCGAGGAAAAGTGGGGCGGTGGAAGTGAAATTGGTGCCTGTGCGTAATACAACCAGTCCTGAACTGAAAAGGGAGACAAAGACGGCAGACGATCAAAGACGACGGAGACAAGACGGAAACCGGACGAATACAACGGAGACAAGACAAGCAAATGCGTATACAACGGGGACAAGACGAGAGAGTGCATGCGGAGGGGGCAGAAGACGGTGCAGCCGCATGTACAGATCATTCGAAGACAGCGCAGCAGCGTGTACCACGGTTCAGCAGCATGTACAACAAAGAGACACAAACGCAGCAGCATGTATAACAAAGAGCTACACGCGCAGCCACGTGTACAACAAAGAGCTACAAGCACAGCCACATGTACAACACTATCCCCCACCGAAAAAAAGACATCCACTCCTGTTGATGGAAGCAAGTAAAATTGAAGTTATATAAAAAACGGAAGAAGACTGCTGAGAAAGATTTGGGAATTTAAATGTGAAGCAACCTAAAAAGGCGACAACAAAACACAAAGTGTACGGGGCCACAACTGTTGAACACATGACTAGTAGGCCAGGAGGGTTAACAGTAACACCAGTCGGGAGCCCCGCAAAACTGTGCAACTATCAATGGAACCTGCAAGCAAGAGATGGCACTTTCTCGGTTTGATTTTGAGTTTCGCTCGTCGTAATGCAGTTATGTAGAGCACGAGACTCTTCATCTCAGGGTCGGCGAAGAGCCACAAGCGCAGCTAAATGTACAACATTCGGGTTGAAAACAGTTTTGACTTTAGTACAACTAGCCATGCTATTATTAATATAGGTTAGTGCATTGCAGGGAGGGCCTTAGGGTTTGTTAGTGCCCGACAGGTTAGCCTTAGGGCTGTAGGTCCGAGGGCTAACCTGAATGGCACAAACAAGCCACAAGGCCCTCCTTGCCATGCACCAACTATTTTAGAACGAGGATACAGTCAACTTCGCTAATAACGACTGCGGATATAACGACAATTCGCGAATAACGACAGAAATTTCCATGCCCAGAGCAAAGTCCCATCCAACTGTGATACATATAATGGGACTTTGGGCATAACGACAATTCGCGAGTAAGAACACTTTTCTGATGCCCCGCCGAGTGTCGCTATAAGCAAAGTTGACTGTACGTGTATTATCCCACTTGCATTGTGCTTGTTTTAATATGCTTATAATTATTGCGTAGTTTTGTGTTTTGTGTGCAGAGAGAATTGGTGTGGTATGATTATTTTCTTCTAGTGACTCAGTACCATCTGAGGACTACTAAAAGGAGTATAGAGGCAAATGAAATGCTGGGCTGTTACTGCGAGCTTCATTCTCTAGACAAAGTAAAGTCGTACAGATGAAAGAGTACGGGAGGCAAAACCCGTACACATTTCTGAAGTGCGTGGCTTTTTGTAGTACACCGTACATTTCATGCAGAATTCATTATCTGCGCCGTACTATAATGCATACAGGAATTTGTACTCACATGTTAAGAGCATATTCAGCGGGCAGTAAACTAATCCAAGGCCCTCGACGCGTCTTCAAGAGTAGTAAAATTACGACTGAGCTGGCTTTAAACTGTGCTAAGGCCCTTGGTGGGAATATCGCTGATAAGTCGTTTCCTAGACATCGAGATAGACCTCATATTTTTGGTATTGATTTATTTGAATTCGGTATCTCAATAGTACTTCAGTACAATGTACAACTTGGCAAGATCCAAATGGCATAGATACGTAAACATAAAAGTGGAGTAGGTGCTACAGCTGATCATTTTATCGCAGATTGTGGGACTAAACTACTACCAGTATGCAAGTACACAAGAAATAAAAGCGACTGCATGACATCGGAGAAAAGCACCGATTAAAGCAAAACAAAGCGACACATCATCCATTGAAAACATTTTCAAAAAGGAGCTGTTTTAACCGGGAACATTCTGGCCCGTCATTAAGAAGGCAGGCAAGATGGACGTTATATCCAGAAGACCTATTACAAGACTTCATTTCAAAGGGCAGAGCATTTCAAAGCCAATAAATACTGTTTATGAAATACCACTATTAAACATCTTCACAACACTCTCCAAACGGTCTCTGGGCTACACCAATCACTAAAAGAAAAAGAGATATTAAAATTAGGAGTATAATAGATGCAGACATGGCCAGACAACAACGAGTTCATGGAATTTTTAAGGGTTTTTATGTTATTCAAAATCGATTTTCGTGTTCCGCTCATCAGTGAATAGTATCGGAACTGAGCGTACTGTGTACAAAAATAGAACATTTTATAACAGCATAATTAAAAGTGTGAACAAAAAAAAAGGAAGTGCTACAGCATTACATAATAGGTGTCAAACATAGTGCTAACATATTATAACTGAGTAGCTGGTTATCAGATGTAAATGTTGTGTCATGTTGCACTGTATCACCTCATGCTTTGTGCCTGCACTCAGTTATAATATGTTAGCACTATGTTTGACACCTATTATGTAATGCTGTAGCACTTCCTTTTTTTTGTTCACACTTTTAATTATGCTGTTATAAAATGTTCTATTTTTGTACACAGTACGCTCAGTTCCGATACTATTCACTGATGAGCGGAACACGAAAATCGATTTTGAATAACATAAAAATCCTTAAAAATTCCATGAACTCGTTGTTGTCTGGCCATGTCTGCATCAATTATACTCCTAATTGCACTAATAAAATTGCTTTCTCCACGCCGACTCTTTAGATATTAAAATTATTTGATTTTTGGGCAAGGCCCATCTGCAGGAATGTAGTTACTGCAGACCATACAGAGATTACTAGTATATATACGTGACCAAATATACAAACATTTGTTTTGGCCAAAATGTTTGTATTTGTTACTTATATAATCTGTGTTTTGTCTGCAGTAGCCCAGAGGCTGTTTGGAGAGTGTTGGGAAGATGTATGGATATAGTGGATGACTACAGTGGAGTCTTCGCATTTTTGAGAAACGACTATTAAAGGCGAATAAATACTGTTTATAAAATACTCCTTGTGCAGTGCTACATGGAAAAGTGCGGTGGTATTTATTGAGTTAAAGAAAAAATAAATCCTCAGCGGAGGACGTTCAGGTTGGTTGCAACCAACCTGAACGTCCCCCGCTGAGTCTGCTATGAGTCAAAGAAAATATATTTGAATTTGATACTGTTGATGGTGTGATCACTAATGAGTGTGGGTAGTTATCAAAGGTCAATATAATTATGTTGGAGGTCGATATAGAAGAGTGATAAATGTGCATATGTGCATATAAACAATCTTGCATTGATTCCATATGCAGGCTTGTGCAGGTTGGATTCAGCAGAAATTGTAGATGTGTGCCAATGCAGAATTTGGCTAGGCATGCTTGTGTGTTTGGAATACTGGGCTACAGTAGCAGTACTCTTGTGCAAGTGAAAATCTTTTCCCTTTTCGGGTCTCTGAATCACTGTGCTCTTTCGCCATGTCATTGACGAGGGATGGCAATGTGTTCTTTAATTTCTTTGCTATGTTCTTTATGATGTGATCTCCTTGAAGCAGACCGATGGGTTCACTGGTTCCTGGAAGGCAGGGATGCTGCAACAACAGCAGCAGCCGCAACAACCTCCTCTACCGCCAGCAAAGACTGGCAGCAGTCTACACCAGTCACAATATGGTAACACGCCAACAGCATCCTCCCTTAGTGGACCGAGTGGCGCAGCAGTATACTCTGATATGAGATCACCGTTCGCTCGCCCTGGCAGCAGACCTGTGCAGCAAGGTCGCACATCTTACTCTGGATCTTCGGTGAAGGCAATCTCTGGACAACAGAATAGTGTGAGTAAACAGATACAGACAGACAGACACACACAGATACACACACACAGACACACAGACACACATTTACACACACACACACACACACACACACACACACACACACGCACACACTACTACTACTACTACTATCAATCAGCTACCCCGTGGGGTCACGCCGCCCTCCACTCAGAGAACTGAGCGCAAGGTGAGGGGCAGTGGCGCAAAACAAAACAGGAAGTACAGCAAAATGAATTGAAAAAAAAGAAAATCAAAACAAGCTGCCATATTGATGGAAAAGGACGCACAAACAGAGGAAAGAAATATCACAAACCAGATGAACAGTCTGCTGTAGGTCCACTATAAGTATAACATGCAACGACTGAAAAAGGAACATGATGTTCTGTTCAACGTCTGTACGCGTACTGCTTCGGCCTTCATAAACCAGGAAAGCACAATCTTGAACTGGAGGGTGGGCACCGAACGTCCCACAAGGGCTCCACAAGACGAACTTTCACGAAACGACGAGGAGTGTGCACGGCAAGCTAACATCACTACACCATCGTCGCACGACAACTGGCCACTCAGGTCCAAACAACACGACAAATCCACAATTCCAGCGATACACCGAGCAGGAATAAATTGCTGCGAGTGTGACCTGTTTCCTTTCTCATCCAGGAATCCACGTGCTTTGCCGAACGCCACTGCATTGTTTCAGGCTGGGGATCGATCCGAGGGCTCGCCACGGCCCTGCGGAGGATGCGGAAAGGACGCAAGAAGACGGTGACGGCAACAAATAATTACCCGCCCTGGTCGTCAGCTCACTGAATGTCCTTCCGCGCGAGCGAAACCGGCTGCACGGCATGAAAAGCCTACTGCCACTCAATACCCAGGGACGACCCTGACCAGAAGGCCAAGGCCGCCCCGTGGAGGAGGCCAACAAAGAGAAAACCAGGAGCTAACAAATCCGCTTCCTCTCCGCGAAAATTTCACACACACACACACACACACAGACACAGGCTGCCGTAGTGCTGCTGCCATACGCATTGCTTGGTACCTTTCGTGGGTAGAGCACTCTGGCGCTAGAGCGACGAGCTATCTTTATGTCTGTGGTGCCTCCTTTGAGGCCTTTATGGCCGAAACAGCTTGCTGCAGCTTGCAGAGAATTTGCGCAATCTGAGATTTCCCACAATGCGGAAGCAATCTGCAGTTTGCGCTGGAATGCTTGCGCATTCTTGGAATTTTCAGAATGCGCCCGAAATGGATTCGCGGGGCTCTTCATGTTTTTTTTCCAGGGAAATGCACAGATTACGCCTCATACGGACTCTTCGTTTTGCTCCCACAGGTTGCCCCGACATGAATTTGCTGTGCTCTTCATGTTTTCAGCGAAGTATACAGTGATACACGCTGGGTTTTTACTTCCTCCGTTATGCAAAACTTTGTTGCATTTTTACAGTTCAGTCCGAATCATCCTACGGCTACAAACATGCTTTGCAAAAGTGGATAACAAAGCAGCATATGATATAATAATTATTTATTTACAGATGTCACATAGCTCGTTTCAAAGCAGTCCAGCTTCACTCTTGGTCTGAATCTGATGACGACTCGCTCTCTCAATGACATTGAGTCTGCATCCTCACTGACTTTCGCCTCCAGCGCTGCCAGCTTTTGTTCCGCAGCCTTTACAAGTTGCCAAGACACGATTTGATAGTGGAGATCGCCAAGTTCTTCACTGGAACTGTGAGCCTGACGACCTCCACGGTGGCACCCCTGTCCCGGAAAGACAGGGGTGCTGGGTTCGAATAGGGCTTGAAAGTGCTACGTCACAGCATAGAAACAATTTCAAAAATTCAAAAATAGGACCCACATGGATCGAGTTCTTGTATGGCTACAAGCGGTCATACTCACAGCAAGGGGATATTCTTTTTTTAAATGTCACGGTGCGCTTGAGACTCGGCTGGAAGCCGGGCTTTCCACATCCGTAGGAACACCACCACCCTTCAAGGATCAAGGCGCAGATGCAGCTCATAAAGCGGTTGGAGGTGAGTAGATCAGCTCACCAGGAAGTGGTCAACGACCGAAAATCCCATTCACTGCATCCATGCATCCAGGCTATATCAAAGGGGATATAGCCTGTAAAATTGACTGGGTTGTCTAATGGGCGTCGGATGACAATTGGTGACGAAGAAAAGTCACACCTGCATACGACATGAGAGGATTGCTATGCACCCACACACTGAGGTAATAGAAAAGTTCCACTTCACAGGATCCAAAAGTAGAAATCTGATGTGAACTTACTACTCCCCGACCGTTTCGACGTCATCACTTTCAAGCCCTATTCCGCCCGTGGATCCTTCTTTTGCAACATTGGCGCCAGGAAATGGCCCATCGTACCCCTTACCATTCGACTCGGCACCCTGAAGACTGCAGCTGGTGTAAATTTGATTTTAGGCTTACCGTAATCTCATGCATTTAAGGACATGTTCTTATTTTCGAATATAATAGCACTCTCGCTTATAAGAACCTGCACATATAAGTGAATGAAAATCATAGAACCACACGTGGTTCATCAAAATTCCTGTTCTGTAGAGGCGTGCTCCTACCTCGGCACACACCCAAACCACACAAAGGACCAGCTCGCGACTACCAAGAGAACTCTGTTAGAAAACTCTGGCTCCAAGCCGCAATTGCTTGAAACCTTTCACCGAACTCGTAAGCACTAAAGCCTACTCTAGCCAACTCACTACTGCAGTGAAAACGTCTAGCTTATAACACTTGCATGCCAACAACTCCATCAGCAGGCGCGAAGGAAGGTGAAGACAAAGCCTGTGACTTAAATGTGTGAACCCTAACGAAAGTCACCGCTACATGTAACACAAAAGGAGAGTGCATGTCAGTGACACGTGCGACCTCCTGAACATTCTCCCCTTCCCGATATGTTGAAAAGTAACATCGAAAAGCATATCGCAACTCAACAAACAAATTTCCAATGCGACAAAAGCATTATTCCGAAAAGCTGTTGAAGAAATACAGCAAATGAACAATGTGAACACATTCAAGAAATAGTGAATCAAACTTTCCATGAAATCAGTTTCACAAACGCCTCCGGCTGGTTGTTGTCACCTAGCCAATGTGACACCAGGGGCTTTAGCACAAGCCAAGCGGACATAGTCGCGTGATAGGGCGTGTCTTCTCCTTGCCGCCCACAAGCACCTTAGCCACTCGTACATGTCCATCTGGACCAGGAAAGACTGCCGTAATTCTTCCCAACGTTAGTGCCCTCGTGGCGTGTCGGGATGAAGAACGTCTGGTTGAGTATTTCTCTCCGGTGGTCGCCACAAGAAACGCAAGTACGGTTGGTCCTCGGAGTGATTTCGAATCTGAAGGTACATCTCCCGAATATCACAAACGATGGTTACCGAGTTGCGCCGGAATCCGAGCAGCACTTCCAGTATCTCTCGCTGCAGCCTAGGGCCCGGCTCTACGCAGTCGCTGAATACCATGCTGTAATTGTCGGGCAGTTTTGATTTCTGGCCATTCCATTGAAGGTGAATCTCGTTCCCAGCCCCGTCGAGTTGCCGCATTGACTGCTCAACTTCAGGCTTCACACTGCGGTCCTTCATGTGCCAGGAGGGCTCAGGGCTGATACCGCCTTGATCAACTTCCCGTTGCCGGTTCAGCTGTACGCTACAGTAGGTGCTGTTGGCGCGGGTTGGTCGATCATCATTGTTTAATACTGCTCCGATACATGTCCAACCTTATGGCGTTCTGCGAGCTAGCGGTTCTCCCGGCTTACCATTGACTTCCTCCCAGCAAGAATGCAATTCACTATGATCACTGCCAATTAGAAGGTCCACTGATTCCTCGGTGAGAGCCGTGAAGGGAACATCTCGCAGGTGGTCCCATTGCGCTGCCGCATTCGCCCAGTCAACAGCCTTCAAGTTGCTTGCGATGCTTTCAATAGTTAGCGCCGTTAATTTGGACTGGAATGTTCCGTCAGCGCTTTCCACTGTAATGTTGACCGGCGTCGTGACGAATGTTTCTGTCAACCCGCTCAGAAGAGAAACTGATGCCTGCTGCGGTCTTCCTGCCACCCTCAACTGCCCGGCAGCTGCAGTGGTTATGTAGATGGTAGTGCTGCAATCGTCCAACATAGCGTTAACCTGTATCCATTCTCCTTCATGCACAAGCGACACCGGGAGGATGCGTAACGAGACCGAAGGTACTCCACGTGGCCGATCTTCTCCCAGATCCGGTTCCCCTTCCGTGATGTTGCATGCTTGGATCGAGCAATTAATAGAGGCTGGCTCTATTGCAGGTGTTGTTGCCCCTCTTGTGCTGATCGAAGCTGTGGGAGCGCTTGACGATGCTACATCACTGCTCATGGCTGCTTCAGGCAGGTTCCGTTTCTGCTGCGGTTGACGATCATGAAGCAGCTGGTGATGTGTCTGACTGCAGCCACTGACACCGCATTTCCTGTTTCTGGTACAGGATGTCCCTCGATGTCCAGTGCCAAGGCACCTATAGCAGAGGCCTTTCTTCTTTGCTGTTTCCCACCGCCTGCTGGGCGACTCGCTCTTGAAGATATCACAACTCCATGTGTGATGGGGCGCATCACATACTGCACACTGGATTTTGGCAGCGCTCTGACCAGAGACCAGGAATGATGACGCGTGGGCTCCGGAACTGCCACCGAACGCTGGTCGACTTCTTGCAGGGCCTGGTTTAGTCGGCAGCGCCGCTGCATGATGACCATCCGCAGAACTGACTCCGTGGGCCATCTCCGCTGCTCCAGTAGCGAATTCTGCCTCGAGAGTCACCCATTCCAATAGCGTTTGTACACTGCTGGGTTTCGTGTTGTTGTGACGCCAACGGTTAAACTGGGTCAGCATGGGCATGGGCAGCTTGTTTTGCAGCTGTCGGAACAGAAGACCATCGCCCAGCTCATATTCCGTGCCTGCATCCGCCATGTTCACTATCAGCACATCCAGCAAATCGGCGAATCTCTGCAGGTCTCCAGG